GAAGCAGGCCTCCTGCGGAGCAGGGAGCCCGATGCGGGGCTCTATCCCAGGACCCTGGGATCATGACCTGAGCCGAAGGCAGACGCTTAACCGACTGAGCCACCCAGGCGCCCCTTCCCTCACCCACTTCTAATGATCTTTCTGCCTTACAGTATAAGAAACAAAACTGAGATGCCGGGGCCTAGAGAACCAAGCTGTCCTGAAGACAGTGAGGTTGAGAGACCTCGCTTCTCCTGGAAGTCAGCAGCGGCAGCCGTTTTGGAATATCCATCAGCCTTATTGGCTGAGAGCAGGAAATCAGGGGTAGGAGAAGCTGACGTCTGCTCAGCTGGCTCTTCTTTCCACGTGTATGTCCCAGCATCCTTTATGTTTGCTTTTCTGGCCACTGCCACGGGAGATTTGGGGAGAATATGTTTTGTCACTTTGCTCCGAAGGTGCTGCATGTATTCTGGGTGTTGTCCTTTGAGACCCAGAGTGGGCATCCCCTCGGGCTGTCCAGGGAGGACAGGGCATGGGTTTTCAAACCAGTCAGGTCTGGATTTGAATCTCTGTTCTGCGGCTTTTCAAGGGTGTTGCCTTTGAGCTCAGCTTCCTCCTGTGTGAAGATTAAGTATAAGGAAGTCGAAGAGCTTCAAACGTCCCCCTGAGGAGGCCATCCTCCACCGCGCCTTCCTCCCCGCCCGCAGTGCTCCACATGTCTCTCTGGCACACTCCTCGTCGGGCCCGGGGGATGTGTGGGCCTGCCCTGTCCTGCTTGTTGTCCCTGAACGCTCATGGCCCCACCATGCCCAGCAGTCCCCCAAGCAGCCGCTCCTCCCGGCACTGTCCTTCCATGAAGTCCTGGTCCTCGCCTTCATGGAGTGTCTAGTGTCCCTGAAGTGGTGAAACTCACGCTGCGTGGAACAAGGAAGAAGGGCAGAGCAGCTACAGCGGATGCCGAAGTGTGCAGGCCTCTGTGAACCTGCGATCTCTCCTGCTGGCCCTTCCCTGCTTTGCCAATGTCTTGGAAGGAAGAATGGAGGCAGGGCAGCAAGGAGGGAGGTGGGGAGCAAGCATTCCTGTGGGGTATGGTGAGCCTGAAACCCATGGAGTGAGACTGGGTCGCATCCCAATGCCATAGAAGTTGCTCGTAGGGGAACTTACCTGGCCTCTTTCAGCCTTGGTTTCCCCATCTCCAGTGCAGTGATGCCCCCACCTACCTGCCTGGGCTGCAACAAGGAGTGCTGAGCTCTAACGCATGCCAGGTGCTTCTTGCAGAAGCTGGCTCAGGGAGCCGACTGCACTGCCGTGGCCGGTCACCACAGTTAGGGAGCCCTGCTTTGCAGACTGGGAGATGGCAGCACAGACAGGTCGAACCCCTTTTCAAGGTCACCAAGCTACTAAGCGAGGTCTGTGTGAATCTACCAAACAGTACAAATTTGGGAGGGAAGGGGGAGCAGCAGAGGGAGGGAAAGCGTCCAGGAAGGACTCGGGGGGCTGGCCAGAGCAGGAGGGGCAGCCAAAAGAGGAGGAGCCACACCGGACTTGCATATCCCCAAGGACTCTCAGCCAGAGGGATAAGCCAGCAGGTTCGTGACCCTGCAATGAATTATAGGACTTAAAGTGACTCAGGGACATCTGTATGGACTGATCAGCAGGTAATGAAGTAAATATATCGATTTCTGAAAGCTCTGGTGTCTTTTTTTTTTTTTTTAAGATTTTATTTATTTATTTGACAGAGAGAGACACAGCGAGAGCAGGAACACAAGCAGGGGGAGTGGGAGAGGGAGAAGCAGGCCTCCCGCAGAGCAGGGAGCCCGATGTGGGACTCGATCCCAGGATCCTGGGATCATGACCTGAGCCGAAGGCAGACACTTAACGACTGAGCCACCCAGGCGCCCTGAAAGCTCTGGTGTCTTGAGTGCTGTGCTCATTCATTCCCCAAACACATGCTGTTCCCCACTGTGTGCTATCGTCCTAGGTATTGGGGACTTAGGGACAGGCCTATACAATAGGGATCGTTCTTCAGGAGGGGATCATTCTTCAGAGGGCAGGTCTCTCTTTTGTTTAGATTTTTCTTGTTTTCTAATAATGGGGGAGGCTGGTATGTGGTGATTATTTCTTGGCCAAGTATTGGTTGTGTGGGGGGGGGCGTGGGGGTCTCTCCTTATCACTGATGCTCAGGGGCTGATATGGAGGGGGGAACACTCACTCTGACAGCATGATGGGTAGGCGTGGGTGGCTCCCACAAGAAGTTTGTCTTGAGGCAGAGAAAAGACCTCCCCCCAAGCACAGATTGTCAAGAATTAAGACCCAAACTTCCTCCCAACTTCCTGAAATGAACCTGTCCCTCTGTCCATCTTGTTTCCCTGGGGGATGGGGATTAACATGAGCATCAGGGGCAAAGAAAACCAAACTACCTTTGTTGAATGACAGAGAGAAACTTGGCAGGTTCAATGTGAGGGAATGACCTTGGGTTTTTTGTTGTTGTTGTTTTTTAAGATTTTATTTATTTGAGAGAGAGAGAGTACAAGCGGGGTGAGGGGCAGAGGGAGAGGAAGAAGCAAGCTCCCCGCTGAGCAGGGAGCCCTATGCAGGGTTCAATCCCAGGGTCCTGGGATCATGACCTGAGCCAAAGGCAGACACTTAACCGACTAAGCCACCCAGGTGCCCCAGCAATGACCTTGTTAACAATGGGATGGGTGATTGTAGTTCAAGGGAAACACCAGAAGTTCAAGAATTGTGCCTTAAGAGATTAAGAGCTACCTCTATCTCCACCTCCTAACTGCTGTTGCCTGCTGCCAAAACCATGGAGTCACACATCTCTGGAGACAGAGAATCTCTTCCCACCAACATCTGGGGAGGTACCTCATTCTCTTTGAGCTTTGAGCAATGAGTGCACAAGAGGAGCTTCATCAGACTTCTGAAGCTGACTACAGTTCATAACCTTGAGATTGGTTGAGCCCATCAGCCCCTATGCTTGTCAATTTCAGCCCCTAACTGAAAGCAGCCATCTCTAATCAGCAGTCTCACATACTCCCATTCCCAAACTGATGTGGGTTTCTTACCCCCATCGCTGGCCTCACTCCCGCCCTGTCCATGATGTCCTCCGGAACCCTTGCACCTTGCATGTAGATTCCTTACTCTCCCAGCACTCCAACCTGTTCATTCCATGTGTATTTGCCCAAGCTTCTCCTCCTGTCTGCGGTGCCCTTCTTAGCTTATTCACCTGAAAAAGATCTTTTCTCTGTCAAGACTGAGCTATCGCATTATTTCTATGAAGATGTTCTTTACTCCCCTAGCATTACATCTTCCAAGATTTTTTTCATGCTAACTGGTGAATGAAAACCAATCAGATGACAACTGGTTCCTTGAAAAATGAATGCAATCTTTAGGCCAAATTAAGAAAGACATGGGATCAAGAAGAAGGGAGTCATTAACATAAGAATAAAAAATAAAAATAATAATAAAAAATAAAAAAAAAAAGAAGGGAGTGAAATCTAGAGCAGTGATTTTCAGGTGTGGTCCATGGCCTTCTGGGAATCTCCCAAGCCCTCTCATGGGATCCTCAAAGTCAAAACTACGTTCATAATAACCCTAAGACTTTTTCTTTCCCACTCTGTGAACATTTGTACTGATGGTACAAAAACAATGATGAGTAAAACTGCTGCTGGTACCTAAGCATGAATCAGGATAGGGATTATCACCACCAGCTTACTCATGAATGTCCCTGATGAAACAGCAAAATGCTTAATTTTGTTAAATCTCAATCCTTGAGTATAAAAATATTCTGTGCAATGAGCTGAAAGCACACATAAAGCATTTGTATTGCACACATAAGTAGAACATTTGTCCAGAGGAAAAGCACACAATTATTTGAGGTGTGAGCTAAATAAACTGCTTTATTCACAGAATACCATTTTTTTTTGTTGTTGTTATTGAAATAGTGACTGGCAAACTGGTTGGATCTGTCCTCTATCATGTTAATCATCCTTCAGAGTTTCATTTCCTCTGTAGTGTTGCCATTCATTCATGTATTCACCAATTCATTAATTCAACAGACACTGAGCACTCTTATGTATCAAAAATTCCATCTATGTCTCCATCTAGGTGAGATTATGGGTGGTTTAATTTGCTCCCCCACTGATCTGCATGGTTTCTGGAAATGTGTGGAGAGATTTAGTTTTAGGCACCCATGATGACTCCCAGGAATCTAGAAGTCTCTTTCATACCAATTTTAGGGAAAAAGTTTTTTTCCCTAAAATTTTCCTATTTATAGACATTAGCCCGCATTTACACACACATACATAACATTTGTTGCTAACAAGTCTGACTGGAAAATGGTGAATCACTTTGAAAACAGTTTTTTTCTGACATTGTCACCTTCCTATTACCATAAATCTTTAAAATTCTCGAACTGGAGAGATAAGAGGAATTGTCCAAGGGATCAACTTGGTAGGTCAGCCTCAGCTTCCAGCCCCCAGGCGTGGAGGTAAATGAACATTCTCATCCTTTTCTTCATCTTGGCTGCGGTGTTGATTTCATTGCTCTCTCTCTGGCTCAGGATGCTGTATCTTTCTCTTGCATACTTGGCTATGTCAGAAACCTCTGCTTGAGGAACTTGCAACTCTTAGACACTACTGGTGGGAATGTAAAATGGTGCAGCTGCTTTGGAAAACAGTTTGGATTTTTCTCAAAATGTTAAATGTGGAGTTACCATATGACCCAGCAATTCTATACACAAATCTGTATATATACCCAAGGGGAATGACATATGTTCACAGAAGAAACCTGTATGCAAATGTTCATGGCTTTATTTATGAGTCCAAAAAAAAAGCAAACAACCTAATGTCCATCAGCTGATGAACAGATGAATAAAATGTAGCACAGTCATACAGTAGAATATTATTTGGTAATAAAAAAACATGTAAACCCTGCAAAATGGATGAACCCTGAAAACACAATGCTAAGTGTAAGAAGCCAGTCACAAAAGATAAGGATATAATGTACGATTCCATGTATACAAAATATCTGTAATAGGAGAATCTATGGAGACAGGAAGTAGATTAGGCCAGGGCTGAGAGGGGGGCAGGTGTTGGCTGGAATGGGAGTGACTGCTAATTGGTACAGGGTTTCTTCTTGGAATGATGAAAACAGTTTAAAATTAGATTGGGGTGATGGCTGTACAACTCTGTTGAATACATTAAAAATGACTGAATTGGGGGCGCCTGGGTGGATCAGTTGGTTAAATGTGCGACTCTTGAGTTCAGCTCAGGTCTTGATCTCAGGGTTGTGAGTGCAAGCCCCGTGTTGGGCTCCAGGCTGGGTGTGGAGCCTACTTAAAACAAAAACAAAAACCACTGAATTGTACAGTTTAAATATGTGAATTGTATGGTATGTGAATTATATCTCAATAAAACTGCCAAGAAGAAATCAAATTCCAGGAGAAAACCAAACAAATCTCAATGTGTCTGGAGGATACCACTTAAATTGTCACCAATTTCTAGAAAATTCTCACCTTCTCAATTAGTCTCAGTTGAAAGGAACAATTGTCTTTTCCCTTCAGTGGTGTCTGAAGTTGAATTTTTCAACTGGGCTTCTCCTGATGCCTTCTTCACCACCCTGCCCTCAGCTTGTAATCCTGTGGGGGTGGTTCTCAACTTTTCTTCAGCAAACTAAGCCAAGAGAGGCTAAGACATTTGTCCAAGGTCACATCTCAAGAACATACATGTCCCAAGTTAAATCCTTTCTAGAGGTTGAAGGCAGCTCTTCCAAAGGTATGAAGAGATGATAACCAATCTCCATTAAGTTATACTTGAAAAATATTTTATTCTCATCCCCTCTTAGAAGTCTAAGAGGCACAAAAAGACTTGGGGAAATGAAGTGACTTTGCATTACAAATAATTTAACTGAGTTTTTAACTGGAGTGCCCTCAACTTGTCACCTCTGCCTGAAGCAACCTCAACCCATTATTCCAGTTGCCTGTTGATATTGTCACTTTTTATGTATGCTAGGGAATGAAAAGGGTTGCCGAGCACTGGAGTCTTCTTGGTGTTTTCTGTGGCTGGAAGCACGAACTGAGGTGTCTCTCTGACTTGTATATGGCCACCACAACCCAGAAAAAGAGGCTTGATATTGTAGGGGATGGGCTAATAACTACATGACCTTGGGGGAAGTTACCTAACCTCGCTAAGCCTCAATTTTGTCATTTGTGTAAGAGAGATGGAAATCATAGCTGTCTCCCGGTGTAGTTGTAAGGATCCAATGGGATGCTGCATGGAACATGCTTAGCTAGAGCCTGGTACACAGCTAGCACTCAATAAATGTAGCTGCTGTACTTGTTAATTGCATGTAGTCTCCCTGCACTGGTGGTTGGGGTGAGTTTGGGCTTGCAGACTGACTTCTTTGCATATTAGTTCACTGATCAGGGAGAACAAACTCATTTTAAGATTTCCCTAATATCTTCCATCATAACCGAGAAGAGAAAACTGAGGAGAGAAACCAGGAGCATGTCCAAGTGGTCTCTGATGTAGCTACATGATCAATGTCATGAGGCTCTTAAAGGGATGATAATTAAAAAAAATATATATATATATATTTTAAAGATTTTTATTTATTTATTTGACAGAGAGACACACAGCGAGAGAGGGAACACAAGCAGAGGGAGTGGGAGAGGGAGAAGCAGGCT